AAAATATATAAAATATAAATTCAATAATTATTTATAATTTATATTCAAAAAAATATTTAGAATATAAATTCAAATTTATATTTTTAATATAAATTGTGTTTTTTTAGTCTAAGACCTTATATTCTTGTTTTGTTTACCCCATTATCTACGCAATATTTATACGGTCACCGTGAGAGTTTACGCGAATCATACCTTTAAAATTTTTGAAGGTGTGCCTCCGCAGGGCCAATGCCCGTGTAAAACGATATCGCAACCTATTTGTTTGCCTACGCCGTCACAGTCCCGGTTTTACTCACGCGACCAGTCCCATCAATATTTTGCTAAGTGGCATGCCTTGCGGCGCCCTGCAGGGGCACCAGCAGGCTCCAAACCGCACCCTACTCCCTGCAGCAGCACAAGCACCCAGGCTCCAAAGCGCCCATAGACATTTGGCAGCCGCGCCAGCACCCAGGTCCCAAAGCGCACACTAAACTTCTGGCGGATAGATCACTGAAGACTCAGCTAGCAACTTTTGACTATGCTGGGGTCAAGCCAAGCGATGTGTTTCAACGTGCCGAAGGGCGGTTCTGGGCGGTTCAATATGTCAAATATGGACTGGTTCGCACGTGGGCTGGTGGTCAGTCTGCGCACCCGAGCCTACGTGGTGCCTACACGAAGTCTACGCGAAGCCTACGCCTGTTCTAGGGGTCCCCTGGAAGAAATCTGATGAAACATTCGGCTCAAGCAAGAGCCTTATGGCCCTTATAGCAACAAGCAGGTGGAAAGCAAAGAACATCAAGACTCTAGTTGGCATGGACAGCTAGCGGTTTAAGCTGTTCCGCTGCCCTTGTATAGCTGCTCTGCCAGGCGGGTTCCACGGTTTGCTCGTATAGACGACTATCCATGAATGAACCTGGTGCCTTTGAACCTTTTGTGGATAACATTGGGTCAATTTTAAAGCGTGAGATTGCGACGCCGATCATGTACGAGCAATTGACATACAACAAAATTCTCGCGTACGCGAACCAGAAATATTTGGAACCTTGAAAAATGCATACGCCAATCCTACGCAATCCTTACGCCAGCCATGTAAAACCACACCAAAAGCCACATCCAGTTTAAGCTGCAGATAAACCCCTTCATGTTAAAAAAAAACGTAGCTCATATTCTCAATATATATTTATGATTATCTATGTATATATATATATATATAATTCCCCATTGGAGCCCTGCGGGCTCAAGGCCAAAGCAATTCTGTCATATCCTGTCAATCCGGGCCGGGGTCCAATTCTGAATTTGCATTGCTTCTTGATTGAGTTCAAGTATTGATATATTCTTCAAACGTTTTCTTGCCATTTGCATCATCTTCATTTGAAGACACCTGAGCAAGAACAAGAACACGATCACAATACCCAAGTTATAGATATCAAGTTATTCAACCAGCCGGTTTTTGGGTTGGTACCTCAAATGAACTCCCCAATTGCCAATTTCTGAGACGAGAACGACCTTGGAGCTTGACAAAATATCTGTACCTGGCTGTGGATGGTGCCAAGGAATCTTCCAAGAACTTGGCCAAACACCAACATGGGTGTGTCTGAAAATAGGGTATATTCCCAATGAAATAGCCATTTAATAGGGATAATGATCATTAACCATTGGGTTTAGGGGTACACTATTTTCAGACAAACCCATATAGTGATGTGAAGCATTCAAGTTCAAGAGATCATGTGGACCGTTGATGCTGACATTCATATGGAGCCCAGACTATTCCGGATCAGTTGTCATCTTGTTTCAAGGCCGTATAACAAACTACGACATTATCATTTGAGGCCCAATTTCTCAAACATGTACCCTCTGGTAAACTAACATAACTATGGAAAATCACCATTTTTAATGGGCAAATCAACTATAAATGGCAATTTTCAATAGCTATGTTAGTTTACCAGAGGGTATATTCCCCTAAATGTTGAGGCCCTAATCCTTCCGCCATAGCAGGGGGGAATCCCATAGGAGTTTCCCACTGAAACAACGATCAGGGCAGGGCCTTGCCCCAGCATTTTGAAGATTCGTGTCCTACTGCAATGGTCACTTTTCAGTTCCACCTTTCAGAGTTGTTAGTATGTGGGGACGGATCAAAAACCTCTTATATATATATAATTGTATAATTAATTGTATATATATGTATGGTTATGTGTATATATATGTATATTTGGGGCGATGAGCATCCATAACTACCAGCTACTGTGAAAAGCAGGGGTGGGTCTTGACACCCCCCATACTTGCGTAAGTTTCAGCTCATTGGCCGCACCATCTTGCTGGAAATGGTCTGCCCATTGCCAGGCTGAAAACATGGCTTCATCTTAAAAACAGAGTTAACCATCAAAAATGGAGATATAGCAGGGATACAAAGGGGATATGTTATGGGATATAACTACCCATCAGTATGACTGTTTTTCAACCAGCGATATCCAGCTGCCGTATCCAGCTGTAACTCCCAGCGGGCGCACTTCCTTGATGGATCTTCACAAAGAGCTCGCGTGAGTCCTGGAACATTCACCAATACCCTCTGGGAATCAAACATAGCAATGGAAAATTCACGAAATTTCCTCAAGTATAGATGTTTTTTCCTATTTTTTGAAGAATTTTTATTGTTTATATATATATATATCGGATTTTCAATTACCATGTTTGAGCCGTTTGACTACAGTGCAAATCTTGTTGCCTTTACCAAGCAGTGACAGCAGTCACGACAGTCACGACACGATCGCCGGCGCTTATCATCCTCCAAGCGCGCATGAAGATGTCTGTCTGCTTGTGAATAGATATGGTTCTGATGGTGTCAACGACATATATGTGATTGTATATGATTACATGTGAGAATGTAAATGATAGTTAGTCTAAATATGTCTAGAGAACCAACCAATTCTGATTGTGATTGATTAATTATGAATGATTCTGTCTATGACTATGTGAATGGTTATGTATCTGATTGTTCAATATTCCTCTATGATTGCAGTAACCCAGGGATCATAAACCCTGGTCTGGACATATGCCACCTATGAGGTGGAAATCATTTTCTTTGCGTCCAGCAAAAACATCTTTATCTGCTAGTTGATTGAAGTTCAGAAAGCTGAAACTGGAAACGGGACACGTATGGTTTTCTTGGCAGGGTTTGGATAGTTCCTTTGGACGATTTCTGTTGGAGAAAACCCCCATGCCTTCTAGTTCAATCCCATCGTAAACCACAGTAAACCCACCATTTGGGGGCTATTCTAAATCATTCCAGTCAAAGAGATATACCCGATAATAACCCCTATATAATTGGGGATAGTTTATTACTGGGTTTATGTATTGTATTTGCAAGTATTATACACCATAAAATCTATCAAACGTGGGCTTTCCGTTAAGCCGTGACTCCACCTTTCCGTTCACAGCCCCTTCGCTCAGGCCCGAAAGCCTTGGAACTTTCGTTCAGCGGGTTGGCCAAGAAGCAGCCCGCCAAGATCTGAACCGCCTGCGATTGGCCAATGGGATTTGATGGGATTTACTGGGATTTTTATATATGGCTTTGTCTGAAAATGTCGTGTAGCCCTTTTTACCCAATGGTTTTGCTGATCATTATCCCTATTTTTTATGGCTATTTCATTGGGAATATACCCTATTTTCAGACAAACCCATATAATGGAATTTCTGGGATTGAACGGATGATTCATCGTGATTGATGAATAATTAATGGGATTCAATAGGATCCGAATATTAAACAACCCCCAGAAACCATGGTCGAGTAGGGAATTTATATACAGTACACATATTTGGGACAACACAATGGGGGTGTTTAGTATTAGGGGATGGGACATATTGTGAGATTTCACCATCAACAATAGGGGTTACAGCAGGGACAATGGGAATTCATCATCAAATCATCAACAACACGGATAACTATAGGAAAAAACTGGTACAAAACACCAAACATTTTATGGGGGTATAATGAGATATATAGTAGGGATAAGATTGGATAATTAGGCAATTAGGCAAGATAATTTGGGTTTGTCCAAGGATGAAGAACAGGTTCTGTAACAAATTTTGGAATCCAATGTCATCCATCATTCCAGGGACCCAAGTAACTGGCCTTGGGGAGCCACAAAGAAAAACTACAAAAACTCAGCAGGTTAGGATTCCCACTCTCTCTAGTTGCCTAAGTCAACACATACTCATGTGTGATTTGTTGTACCCTCTGGTAAACGTTTACATAACTATGGAAAATCACAATTTTCAATGGGAAAATCCACTATTTCTATGGCCATTTTCAATATCTGGTTGGTGGTTGAGCCTACCCCTCTGAAGAAATTGAGTGAAGTCAGTTGGGATGATGGGAAAGTCTAATCAAATTCCATGGTTCCAGTCACCACCAACCAGTCAGGGCCTCAACATTTAGGGGAATATACCCTTTGGTAAACGTTTACATAGCTATTGAAAATGGCCATAGAAATAGTGGATTTACCCATTAAAAATGGTGATTTTCCATAGGTGTTTGTTAACGTTTACCAGAGGGTACTGTATGTGACTGAAAGCGATCGACAGAAAATAGGCTCTAAGACTTTGATCTATCCGAGATATTGTGGGCAATTTCTGGGCCGCAGTCGTTCTTGACCGGTTTGGAGTGGTAACCCTAGTATTTACCACACGAAAGTTGTCAAAAAGCACAAAAAATACCCTCTGGTAAACTAACATAACTATGGAAAATCACCACTTTTGATGGGTAAATCAACTATTTTGACTGGGCCATTTTCAATAGCTTTTTGTATGTTTACCAGGCCGGGTACATCTTCGCATTGTTTCGAAGCCTAGCAAAACCCTACATTGATCTCTGATCTCCATCGCATGGCAGGTCTGATCCCGTCCAACTTTCATCCATGTTCGGTAATATCCTACAAAATATCCTACAAAAAACAGTTCAGAATTTACCCGGGAATGACCATGTTCCATTTTTGGGACCATACAATGGAGGTGTTTAAGAACCAATGATGAACGGAGGATGGGGACTCAATATTCCATCAAAATGGCTTTCAACTGATTGAATCATCCCATTGAATACCCAATCATCCCATCAAAATATGGCCAATATCAGGGGAATATCCCCTCAAATATGATATAGGTCAGTCCGTAGTCTCTGAGTTTATAATGTTAAATAGTTTTTCTTTGGCTATTTTTCATTTTTCGTTATAGTTGTTCACTTTCGCACACGCCAGGGGCCCATGCAGGATGGGCCCCACTAGTTATAAGTTGGTATATAACCCCATCTATATTATACAGTATAGATAATCATGTTTTTTTTTTTTAAATAAGTATCCCATAAGTATATTATAGCCATATCTAGTCATGTATAAGTTAGATTATTTTTATAAGTATTATACACCAACTTGTTATTTGATGTTATTTGCACCAACTTAGCTAAAGAACTGGGGCCCCATCCTGTGGGATATTGATAGAAAAAGATGGGATGCCACTATTACGTTATCATATGGGATATTGATGTCATATACCCTCTGGTTATTTAACATAGCTATGGAACATGGCCCGTTCATAGATGATTTATGATACTTTACCTATTGAAAATGATTGATTTTCCATGGCTACGTTAAATAACCAGAGGGTAATGATAATAACCAATAGTCATTCGTCATTCCCCCATGGTTTTTTCGTCGCCTTGCTGGCAGCGCCAGAGGTGGTAAATTGACAGAGACCTTGACCTGCGCCGGTTGCAGCTGACGCAGCTTCGCTGCGTGCTTTTTCAAAAAACGTAGCGGTGGTTCCAATCCATAGAATATGGTGGAATATATATATATATATACAGTATCAATATATACATATATATATATATCAATTGCAAGTTCCAGTTGATACAGGCCAAATATTGAGTTGCCGAAATAGGGGATGTCCAGCGGTATATCAAAAAGCATTTTTTGACTTCCGGTCAAGATGACAATCAATTCATCAAAAACGATAAGTACTTCAAAACGACCAAGACTGGCGCTGCCTTGGGCCCCGAAATCCAGTGATAAATCATCATGTTCTCATTGAGATTGAACAAACAAACACCCTAGGGTAAACCAACACAGATGTGGAACTCAACTAATTATTTGTAGATCGTTGTCCCAAGGAAACCATGGGTTTTCACATCTACGTTAGTTTACCCTAGGTTACATTGGTACATTGCCTCGTGAGCGCCCATCGAGCAAGCGGAATAAGCGCATGGCACGCACCTAAGGCCACAACAAATCTCAGGGTACACCGCACGCAGTGACCCCACAATATACATGGGATATAATATACTCTCCAGAACCCTCCAGTAAATTTACGTAGACCCTGCCAGATAGGGGTTGGAAGAATAGTTTCCACCAAAAAAAAAGTTCTTTTCAGGGTCTATGTTAATTTACCAGAGGGTGGTTAATGTAATGAAGCTAATGATAAAGCATCCCCAATTGGGGTTTATTGGGTATACCTCTATGACTGGAATGATTTAGAATAGCCTAGTGGGATTCCTCATCATTCATCCCTCGTCTTGATCTCCTGTTCTGAATGACCAGCACTGAAACACGAGGAAACACCAGTTGGGATTGTCCCATGGAAAACAACTGCAATTTTTACTGGTTGGTGGTTGAGCCTATCCCTCTGAAACATATGAAAGTCAGTTGGGATGATTATTCCCAATATATGGGAAAAAATGATCCAAACCACCAACCAGTTTAGCATTGTTCATGGGGAAACTATGGAGAAAACATTGACCATCGGATTTTGGCTGGTTCTCATCTTCTTGAGACAAACCTGCAATGAGAAGAGAATCTTCCAGGGTTTCAATTTTCACATCCAAAAAATGAAACATGGTCTTTAGTCAGGAAACATCAGCAACTATGTGAGGCTCCACGGCTCCACTGCCCACAATATCAGCTTTCGATTCCATTGATTCACATATCAGTGAAGAATTTTGCGGATTACATACCCTCTGGTAATTTGTTACATAGCTCTTGAAGCCATGGCCCATAGAAATAGTGGATTTACCTATGATTTAGATGGTGATGGAAACCATCGTTTTTGTGTAAACGTCCAGAAGGTACTTTTCAGATTTATGGTTCTAATATGTTCTAATCCTGATCGCCCCAAATGGATTGACAGCCATCTGAAGCAAAACATACCAGCTTTGACCATGAAATATGAGGACCCTAGAGATGGATAATCCATACAGATTAAGGTCGTTGTTTCGGCAAGCTGCTGGTCCAGCACGCTCGAAAAGCGGCAGCAAGTCCTTCGGCAGCATCTTCATGGGGGAAAACACCAGCTGGAGATACACATCTACTGCTTGGTTCTTCAAGCATTTTTTGTCTCCAGGAAGGACCAAAGGATCAAGACTCCTTGATGTTCTGTTTGGATCTCACATATCCAATCCCAATCTAATCCTCTCGAAGCAAATATGGCGGCTTCTTATACTAAGGCAAGGTCCGAGACTCATTTAAGCCGACTTTTTTACTCATTATAAGCCGACATTTTGTATGTTGACTTCAGAGTTAACTCCATGGGGTACAGACCTTTAGGTTAACACTTGGGGACACTTGGGGTGGGTTTAGGGGACACTTGGGGACACTTGGGGTGGGAGTAGGGGACACTTGGGGACACTTGGGGTGGGCTTAGGGAACCAACTCCAAGGGATACAACCCTTTAGGTTAACACTTGGGGACACTTGGGGTGGGTTTAGGGGACACTTGGGGACACTTGGGGACACTTGGGGACACTTGGGGTGGGCTTAGGGAACCAACTCCAAGGGATACAGCCCTTTAGGTTAACACTTGGCGACACTTGGGGACACTTGGGGTGGGTTTAGGGGACACTTGTAAACACTTGGTCCAAGGGATACTAACACTTGGGGACACTTGGGGTGGGTTTAGGGGACACTTGGGGACACTTGGGGACACTTGGGGACACTTGGGGTGGGTTTAGGGGACACTTGGGGACACTTGGGGTAGGCCTAGGGAACCAACTCCAAGGGATACAGCCCTTTAGCTTAACACTTGCGGACGCTTAGGGGACACTTGGGGACACTTGGGGTGGGTTTAGGGGACACTTGGGGACACTTGGGGTGGGCTTAGGGGACACTTAGCTTAACCAACTTACGCCCATTTCAGGTTAACACGCTTAGGGGACACTTGGGGACACTTTGGGGTGGGTTTGCATTGGGGACACTTGGGGGACACTTGGGGTGGGTTTAGGGGACACTTGGGGACACTTGGGGTAGCCTAGGGAACCAAGTCCAAGGATATACTTTAGCTTAACACTTGCGGATGACTTGGGGACGCTTGCGGACACTTTGGGACATCTTAGGGGACACTTGTTCAAACTACCAGTCACATCTTCTTCAAGTCCCTTGAATGATGTTCCTGGTATTTTGCAACATCTTCGTCAAGTAGCTTGCAATACATTCCTGATACGTTGCAACATCTTCCTACTTGTAAGTAAATTGCACGGCCTTCCTGATACGTTGTCACCTCGTCTTACAGTAACTTGCCAGATGTTCCTGATACGTTGTAGCATCTTCTTCAAATGACTTGAAACACGTTCCTGATACATTGCGACATCTTCTGCGCGACACTTCCGACATGTTCCACGCATGACGTTGTCACATCTTCTTCAAGTCCCTTGAATGATGTTCTTGCTATTTTGCAACATCTTTGTCAAGTAGCTTGCAATACATTCCTGATACGTTGCAACATCTATCTTCCTACTTGTAAGTAAATTGCACGACCTTCCTGGTACATGTGTCACCTCGTCTTACAGTAACTTGCCAGACGGTACTGATACGTTGAAGCAACTTCTTCAAGTGAGTTCAAACATGTTCCTGATACATTGCGACATATTCCTGATACGTTGAAACATCTTCTGAAAAGTGACATGCAATTCATATGATCGAATCAAAATGTCCTGCTCATCATCTCTGTCACACCTGTTGCAGTCATATTCAAAGACTTCTATGTCACTTTCTATTGGTGCTGCCATCATATTTCACAAACGTAGGCGTAAGCGAGTAAAAACGTAGGCTTAAGCGAGGTACTGACCCTAAGGCAATCCTAAAATGTGACGGGCAAAGCCAACCAAACTAACATTGAATGAAAAAGTTGGTTATGAGGTCGGCTGACCATAGAAAAACATCGTCGTAACATTCAGGTCCGCGGTTGCAGGAAACCATTGTAGCAACCTGCATTTCATTTTTTACCTTTTTTTTGGTACCCCAAGAATTTGAAAATCAAGTGTTTCCCCATTAAAACCTGCAATTTTCTGGGTCCCCGTTTTCACGCACACTGTTGATCCCACATCAGCAGCACCCAGCACCCCCCAGTTGACCCTGGTCCTCTTCATAGACCTCACATTGAGACGGTTCTGATCATCTCTGTAGGTTAAGTCAGTAGGATACCCCCGAAAATTTGATGCTTACTGCTAAAGTCATCATCTTAGTGAGCACAATTTATATGGTGATTTTAAGATATTTTAAGTGGTCTTCCGTCTGCATCTGGTACTATCATGATCTACATTTGAGAACGCTGCGAAGTGGCCAGTTTGGTTCACGTTGGTCTCCGGGGAAGGGGGTCCATCATCCACCCCAGGAGTATAACAACTCCGGTATCACCTGGATTGGGTCGCAACATTCGCAGCTTCAAACATTCTCTTTCTGTTTGGTGAACAAATGTGTGGAAGTACTTGTTTGGTGGTTCTCAATCTGCTTGGATGGTCTAGAATGGTCTGTTTGACAAGGGAACTCACCCTGTTTTAGTAACACATCTGCATGAGTTGAAATTGCCCCAAAAAACAAAAGGGTTCAGAGTCAAAAAGCGAGTTACACCCATCACGCTCCAGCGCAAAGCAGCGCCCGCAAAGGGCGGCGGCAATATGCGGCAATATCCCGTTTCTTAGTGATGAAACCACATCCTTTTTTGGCTGGCAATATCCGATCTCTGGTTTCAAGCTGATTGAAACCCAGTCATCAACCCGCCTGCCACAAAGGATGACTCAGTTGCAGTTGTCTTTTTATGAAATCTTTTGGGTTGATCTATTCTTAGTTGCAAAATATCGGCACATTTTACTTTTACCGTGGCTCACAGCCCAATTTTCTATGATACGTCTATGATCTGTCTGGATTTGAATCATATTCACCCACCTGAAACAGGTCATATTGGGACGGACCCCACGAGTAAAACTGACCATTGTTTCTGGTGTTGGCCAGTAAGGTCCTTCAAATTCACCGAGATTAATTTGATATTTCTGGGTAAAGTTGGCATATAAACCCATCTAGATACTTTTATAAGTATCATACACCAACCTGTTACTGGCTGGTGGTTTGAACCCCTCTGAAAAATATGACTTCGTCAGTTGGGATGATTATTCCCAATATAGGGAAAAAATGTTCCAAACCACCAACCAGTTAAATATGGCTTTGTCCGGAAATGGGGTTATCCAATATTATGGCCATGTTCAAATCAACAGAAATATGGAAATTATGATAAACCACTGGATGCTGGCATAACCTACTTTTGGACAAACCCGTGATATCATACTGTTGCTTATAGATCCGGTTCTATCTCACCATATCCTCATCATGGGCGGTCTATGTTGACCTAATAGCCCCATTATTGTTGCTTAAATCTATCTTAAATCCATCTTCGCTGACAAACCAGCATCATCTTGTTACACATTCCCAGTAATGTGGTAAACCCAATGTCATAAACATTCATAAACCATCTCCCAAAATCACCGAAAATAGGTGGTATAAATCATCCCCAGACATGGTAGCTCCATGAGGATCGGGGTTGGTGTCGATGGGCTCACCCCATGCCATCTGGATGACGGCATTCAATTGGCTGGACATCGGCATCCGGGTCTCGAACTTTGGCTGAATCGCTTGCACCAAATCCTTTTTCCCATTTCCCATATGGATGTGGGTCAAAATGGAAGACCGATGTGGGACCACAGATGTGAATGTCTGGTTTAGTATTAACCATCCATAATTTTGGGGTACCTAATTTTGACCCTTTTTCCCATGATTATTATCATTTCCTAAAGGATTTTTCCCATTCACATCTTGAAAGACTTGGGAGGGAAAGCCCAACTTTCGCGTCCACCTCGAAGGGCACGTTGTGGAAGTAGACGCAGCTGAACGCTTCAGCTTCAGGCTCCTGGATTCTGGAACTGGGTAGATTTGTCGCATAAAATGACGAATTGCACCCCCCAAACTTGGCAATTATGCTATTTTCCTATATGGCAATGTGTCAAAACCCATGGAATCCCCTGTAGTTCACATCAAAATAGCTGGTAAATGGATGTTCATCCCCCTAAAAATGGTATTTATGTATAGGTATTGATCCATACCCATATGTTTCTCACCATTTCATTTGGAACAGCTCTTCCAGGAAGAAACATGAAGAAACCTGCAGAAATCTTGATCGACTCCTGGGGCCATGGAAGCAGCGGATCCATATCGATATGATTTAACCAAAGAAGAAACAGGTCCAATCTAAATAGAAAAATTAACATGATTCTATACATAAATAAATAAATGAATAAATAAATAAATAAACAACTAAATATATATATGTATATATAATTATATATATATTTGAATAATATTTGCGACATGCATGGACTACAAATTTTACCATCAAACACGTTTTCCAAGGACTCACTCTTTTAATGTCAATCAAAACTTCGTCACCGGCAAAACAAGCTAACAAGGGTCAGCTATGTAGCTGACGAATTCAAGGTTTTTTTTTGTTCCAAAATCAACCACAAATTTAACACTTGAATGCCATGTTTGATGTTGAAAATCACCAGGACATGATCTACATTTCTAGTGGATTTTCTGCAGGATTTTCCCCATCACCGCATCAGCGGCAACCAGTCCTCCCTTTCTGAGTCGGATTTGCCTGGTCCACAGCTGACAGTGGTGGCACAGACAGATTTGTGTTTCTGAAAATTGGATAGCTCAACTTATGAACATTTATGAAAACAAATACCATTTTAAGGGGATTCAGCATTTTTGGAAAATTTACCATTTTAAGGGGATTCAGCATTTTTGGAAAATTTACCATTTTAAGGGGATTCAGCATTTTTGGAAAAACAGATATATATATATAATATACAATCAAAATCTCCTTTCAGGATTAGATCAACGATGATCAACGATTACTCCAGCAAAATCGCGACCCCGCACAAACCATGAATTTCACCCATAGAATTCACAGGTCAGTTTCCGAAAAAAAATTCTTCGCAACGTCATGGAAGGCATGGGAAAACCCCTGCATGGTTAATCTTAGATGTGCAAAAATTGATGATTAGCCAGGTATGACATATTCCTTATGGCCAGGATCCAAGGTCTTCAAAGGCTGAAATTTCCAGTTTCCAGATATTGGGATTGGGGGACCAATCCTGTACGTAGTATCAGTATTTAGGTATACGTACTAAGCTATGCTTTTTGGGGGGATGTTTATGATACTGGGTAACCTCAAAAAACTAACACAGCTATGGAAAATGGATCATTTATAGATGATTTACCTATTAAAATAGTTATTTTCCATGGCTATGTTTGTTTAACTGGAGGGTCAACGATTGCTCCAGCATCCGCGATTGATATTGGGGGAGGGAGCGGCTGAGCATGACTTTCCATATGAGACTTGCAACCAATTGGGGTATACCGTCATTTGATTCAGGCAAACCCATATTAAATCACACCAATCCAAGAGGATCCAAACAACATGTCCACAATTTAAGTTTTCAATGTGATTTGGGGTTACACTACTTTGGACACAAAATGTCTGATAAAAAATAGAAATATCAACATGTCAGCCATCTATTCGATGCTGAATATTGTTTGCAAACAAGAAACCTGGTTTAACCTTAGATATACGTACCCTGCACTATCCCGCACTACAATCGCAATGTTTACCGTTTACCCATATTGCATACGGGCGTGTCATTGCATACCTGGACAAAGCCAAACATCACATGTTCGCTTATCTCCCAATAATCCCATCATCTATATATATATAATATATATATATGTATATTATATATTATATATATATTATATTATATATATATATTACATATATAATATATATATATTATACACATACACATGAGTTATATCCCCATTTGGTGTTGCACAATTGTCCCCCCCAAAAAATGGTAAAGATTTCAGACTGGTGGTGTGTCCAAAATATGAGACACTTGGGACCATCATCCTGGGGTTTTTCAGCATATCCCCATGAAATCCATCATGAAATCCATCATGAAATCCATAATGTATTGTAAATCCCATAAGATTTAACCTTACAATATCCCGTTTTTATGTAAATGACCTACAAATACCTACAGGCTGTAGAGTATTGCGGCGCGAACAAAATTTGCTTGCTGTTTTTTTTTCAGAAGCCTGCACTTTCGGGACGGCCGAAAAAACGTTCGGATTCTTGACCAACTCTCAGGCGGTATTTTCACCCATCATTCACTTTCGGTACGGCCTTGGTCGCGGGGTTCCGAAGCTTCTTCTTCCTCGGCCATTTCCTGGTGCAAGGGTGCGAGATTGCTCGGACATCACCGGGCATCAAGTTGATAACTACAGCTAGTTTGATGTTCACCAAAAAATACCATTCATGGATACCCTCTGGTAAACGTTTACAAACACCTATGGAAAATCACCATGCTATTGATGGGTAAATCAACCATTTCTATGGGCATGTTCAATAATTAGCTATGTTCATCCATTTACTTTCTCTATGGGAATCATTCCATTGGTGTGAAAACCAGGGTGGGCTTTGATCCATGATGATCCATGGGCAAAAAGCAAACGAGTGAACTAGTACCCTTGGGTGCCATCAAACATGTCTCGAACGTCTTCCATGGAGGAGTCTAGTTGAATCATCTGTAAATGGGTGATTTTCCAGCCTGCGCCATCGGCGCCATGCTTGATGACAGAGGTAAACCATGGTAAACCGCCATAAACAAGGCTTTCGCAGTGTTCAAAATCCCTCTATCATTCCATGAAATACTGGTTGCATCTGGTTGCTTTATGTTGCTTTTTTTTGGGATTCCCCGTTCTTGGATTATTATCAACCAATAGGGGTTTGGCAGCCACTGCTCACTTCTTCACCCGAGAAATCAAGGATCCAAACAGGACAAGGCTTTCGCTTGGGGTGAACCGAGAATGGTAGGGAGAAGGGATAGAACTACGAAATGGAAAGGATATGGACATGATTGATAGGACTATGAATATGAATATGGATATGAATATGAATCGGATTGGATTAGATTCAGCGAGCAATACTTGGTGCTGGTTCGTGGTTGAGCTACCCTTTCCAAAAAAAATACTGTGTTTTGTAGTCACTGTTAAGTGGACTCAGAATCATATACATTTCGGTCAAACATGAAAACCTATTTGAAACCACAAACCAAGGCCGCTGGAATAGAAGAGCACCAGGCGATACCCATGATTGCTTTGTGTTGTGGTGTATTCTCTCGCTTTACAGGCAACACAAACACAAGTTTTGACTTAGACTTACAACAAATACCCAGCTTTTTCACCTTACAACATATAGCTTTGTCTGAAAGTCTGAAAATGAGGTATCTCAATTGTTCACGTTTTTTTTACATCATGTTCCGGCTAACTTATATCCCAACTTATGGGGTTCATAACCATGGTTCAACGGGATGGTTTCAATCCAACGAAAATTTTGTGTCCTGGTCAGCTTCCTGGTCGACCTTGGGAGACTCAGCCAGGTCATCCTGCCAGATTTTCTGCAAAACAAGGGACAGTGAAACAACGGTGTTAGTGGGTTTGTTATCCCTTTTATTGGAGGAAATCACCATTTTATGGGGGGAATCACCATTTTATGGAGGGAAATCAACACTATAACATATACCGACCTGAGCAATTTGAGATTCATGTAAGAATGAGGGAATTGAACCAACAAATGAGCATTATTCAAAGCCTTCTGCCATTCCATTGTGCTGCTTGGTGAATAGAGATTCCTATAGCGCAATATGCAAAACCCTAACTTATGCGGTGGTATAAGCCCCCTACATGAGGATTGAAGCGACACATGTTATGGGGGGTACAAAACCAAGTAGCTTATGGGGATATAAATGGTGTGTGTGTATATATGTATATAATTGTATATACATATATATGTACACCTATACTACAACCAACAGTATAATCTTTAAATTCTCTCCAGTTTATGTAGGAAAAGCCAGCGATACAACATACCAATCATACTGATACAATGGGCGAAACATGACAGTATGAAACCAGCAACATACTGATAAAATAGAATATATATGAATATATTACCAAAGATATCATTTTTTCTTGGCCCAATTCTTTGGCAAAAACCTGGGGAAAATCATCACATCCTAATCCAATCTGGGGACTATCTCTCAGGGATACCCAGGGATACCCAGGGATATGATCTCGGGTGAACATAGTTTTGTACCCGCAAACATATACCCCCCAAAATAGGCTACCCCAAATTCACATGGTTTATCATCATTTCACCAGTAGATACAATTAATCGCCCAAAATTGGCGTATCCCGATATCCCCTATTTGCCGACAACCCCACATAGTACATTGTTGTTTCTTCTTCTTCTTTTCTTCTTCTTACCCGTATCACTCTCATAGAATTATGTATATATATATACATATACACATACATATTGTGTATGCATTTTGTAATCTATCAGATTATCAAATTTATCAGTATATATGATAGATCCCACTATATTCCCATGATCTCCCCATAAACCTGGCTAAATCTTCCATGTATGGACAACGATACCACTGCACCGTTTCTGCGCCTTCTCCTTGGCTGGTTCCCGTTTGATGTCAACATCGAAGTCACTGAGGTCGGACTCCTTGGAGAATTTCAGAGGCGAACATTTTCCCCAGGAAAAGCTGCTGGGGATTGAACCACTACAGCTTATATCCCATTATCTATTCCCATTAATATAATATAAATATATATTAATATATATATATATATTAATATATATATATATGTATATATATATATATTAATATATATATATATTAATATATATATTAATATATATATATATTTATGTGTATATATATATGAATATCTCATCATTTCATGGATAAATCTCCAAACATGTCCAAAGATATTCCCGTAAACATGCGTCCCTACAAGGTGAGGCCCAGCAGTTACGTTTGTTGCTTTATACCCATCAACTCGTCAACTTTGCCAAGTTATGTCCGTCAACTTAGCTATCGTAAACCGGGGCTTCACCCTGTAAGCAGCATCGCCGTTTGAATCCACCAGGTTGAGGATATGCACATTGCAAGAGGGTCATCTGCTCAAAAACCCATGCAACAGGACACTCTTTGAGGATGGCATGATCATTTCTGCATGCGCTGTGCATGCGTTGTGCAAATGGGAGCCCATCCTACTTGTCTGAAATCTTGTGCTTGTCTAGCTGCTCATGGCGGTTTCCATGCATTCCGTGAAAATTGGGGCATCTAAACGGTGCTGGTAACATCTGTGAAGGTGCCATGGCCATGGTCAAGTTGCCATGTTTTTTTCTTTTGGGTAATCAACCACAATGAAAATAGGGGGATTATCAGATTACCATTCCCAAACTTGTGGGAAAATGATGGAAAATGTAACCTTAACATGTCAGATATGCTTGGTAAAAAATGAGAATCCCTTGTCTTCGAACTGGGATATTTGAATGGATACTCACCCAAATTCATCACCACCCTGGTTGCAGTTGACACCTCTTCATCAGAGGATTTGGAGACCGTATGCTCTGAACTTTCCTCCACCTGCAGGAGCTTTCAACCCAACTCAAAAATTTCAAAAATGGTGTCATTGGAAATCATGATCTCCAGTTGGAAAAGGATAATCAAACACAACAAACACCAATCAAACAGGCTGATCCCACCATTTTTCGTGAAGAGCATGAGTCTCTTTGGGATCCCAACCCCTATGAAACCGAAAGAGGTTTGAACCACATCTTACCCCGGGCCACCATCCCATATTTGGGGTAGCGAATGACCTGACACATACCCAATATTAACAGATGCAACCCATGGTGCTGGTATATTTACCGCACCATAACTGGGTGAAAAAAATAGGGTAAATGTAGGTAAATATACCAGCACCATGGAGCATATGGGATTCATCCCACTGTTCTTGATTTTTCACGAATACACACAAACCCAATTGCGAAACATTGCGAACAAGATTTCATCAGAAATCTTCCCCTGTATGCAGCATTTTCCCTTTGATACAGGTCTTGTTGGGCACACACTCATCAAATACATCTAAACTTCAAGTGTTGCTGTTTGTCGATGTGCTTTTTCATAAACCAACTTTTTGGGGTCTAAAAAAAGGTCTTGGTGCACTCCACCCCAAGAGATGGTGCCTTGTGATACCCCATTCCATCCACTGGATCCCACAGCCTCTGGTTATGTCAACAGTTTGCTATGGAAAATGGCCCAGTCGAAATAGTTGATTTACCCATCAAAAAATGGTGGTTTTCCATAGTTTTTTGTATGTTTACCAGAGGGTAGCCATCATTCTACCCATCAAAAACGGCAAACATCCTGGGGAGTCAATACCAACAGAGGCATCTCGTCGGCTCAACTGGGAACTCCACCTTCATGACTTCGCTTTTCTTTGCCACGCTGTAGAAAGAAATCTTGCCGTCCCTCAGAGGCAGAAGTCCGTGGATTTTTTGCTGGTTGGTGCTTGACCAACTTGACCAACCCCTCTGAGAAATATGAGTCAGTTGGGCAGTTGGGATGATGATTCCATTCCCAATATGATGGGAAAAATAAAACATGTTCCAAAGCACCACCAACCAGATGCTTTTGTTTCATTGGAAAAGCATCTGTTGGAAATGCTTTTGGAAAATGATCTGCATTTTTGGCTCGTTTTCCCGACCCTTGGAGCAATTTGAGATGTTTCATACCCCAATGGGCGTGGCCAATCCTAGATACCATGCCCCCAACGGGGGTATCATATGTTGGTTCCCCTATCCATAGCAAAAGAGTCACTCTTTGATGGTTTCAACCCCTACTGACAACTACTAGTCACTTAGCATTCCCAACCGAAATCGGGTTGAATATAGAAATGTGGGAAACCACCAACCAGTTCAAGTATGAAACTACTCAACCCACAGTTACTCAAAGGTCGATCCCAACCCCAAAGCCACAGCCACCAGAGGCCCCGGCTGAGCTTCAGTTGGTGAAAGCACCTGCCAACTCGAGTCTGAAGGAAGTTGGTCAATATCCCAAGCATGACGATGGTAACATTCAGAAAAAAAAAACATGGGAAATCGCCATGTGAAAAGCCTATCCTGGATCAAATTAAAAACAATTGGTCTCCTGCAACTGGCTCTTCGGAGCTATCTATGACTTTGGATCCAATGGGCATCATTGGTGGGGGAATGTTTACCCTTCGACAATCAAACTAATCTAACTAGCGTACCCTGTACATTGGTAGACAATTCGGAAAAGAAATGAACATGATCATCCATTATAGATCATGTTCACTATATATCATGAATAGATCTATAATAAATATGATAATCTGATATAAACTGGCCATTGGTTTATCAATTTGTATCCAGCTATGTCATATTTAGCTATGTCACCAGCTATGTCACCTTTTTTACTTGGAGGATAACCATCCTCTCAACACGCCTTGGCGAAGACATTCCAATTTCGAGTCAAGGCACCAATTCACAAACTACCCTCTGGTAAATCACCATTTTTAGTGGACAATCACCATTTTTAATATGGTAAATGGAAAAAAACAAAACAATATATATACCCTCTGGTAAACCGACAAAAAACTATGGAAAGATCCACCATGCTATTAATGGGAAAATAAACTATTTCTATGGCCATTTTCAATAGCTATGTTTGTTTACCAGAGGGTAGAAACAAACAGTTTCCAGGGTGAATCAGCTGACTAACCGGATCAAAGTAATCCGCATTTACTTGTGGGGATTGCCTTCTGCTACGGCAAATTGTCAAGAGAACAATGGAGCTATGAAAAATACCCATCGAATCCCATGTCGTTGTACTTGTTGGGTTAATTCGTGGCTTTGAATCTTAATCATCCCCAATACAACAGAGAGATAACCCCTATAATCATCAACCATAATTTATCAACTATATATATACCACATTCCAAAGGTTTCACTTCCATTCACCGCCAATGATGTGTCCATTCCCATGAACCAATCAACGTCTCAATCTGTGCCTTGGGTGCGTGCACCTCTGGTTCAGCACCTGTGGCACAGTGGCCCTCCCATGCACCAGGGAGCCGCCCGGATGAACACGGGGATGTACTTGAATGGTGGTTGCAGCATACCACATTTCTGGCTAGACCCAGAGATCATGATTGATCTTCTCGTCAGGGCTGCCCCACAACCCCAGTTTGTTGGGTCTGTCTGTTTTTATGGCCGATGACCACCATTTATGGCCGTTTGATTGGCAAAAACACACGAACCATCAAATTTCGAAGTACCCAATTTTCAAAGAAGCCCATATCCCAAATCGTACCCACTTGGTGTTGGTCAATAGCACCATTTGGGGATATTTGGGGTGTGTCTGGAAATGGGGCAAGCCCGAAATAGCACATTGAATGGGAACCATGATGCTATTTCTATATGACATATATCATTCCGTATCATATTTCGAACTGTTGCTATATCTATGACACATATCCTGAGTATATGGAAGTGTTGGGGTACCTCCATCCCCCAAAGATAAAAGAAGGCTTACCCCAGAAATGATCATTCACCATTTACACTATACCGCCGGACAGTCACTTAGAAGATTAAAAAAAAATCCAAAATTGGGGACCTCACACTTAGAAGATAAAAAGCTAACAAAGAAAATCCCACACTTAGAACGTAACACTTAGAAGTGGCCTATTTTTTAACATTCACACTTAGAAGATTTATGATGATGTCTTCTAAGTGATTGTCCGGCAATGTTCTAAGTGTGATGTCGCCCCAGCTAACTATATATGTCCACAGTACACTAATAATAGTTAATGCAAAGAACACCAATAAATATATGAATCAAACTAATTATATATTATTATAAATATATATATATATAATGGTTTGTAAAGATCGTATGAAATGAACTGTTAATCAACTGGTGGTGACCCATGGGCAATCACGGAATAAGGTGTGTTTCTCATCCCTTATAAAAGAGTGTTGATGGTCCATATATTTTTTTTCATATATCAACATTATTGTAATAATGTGTGTGGTGGATGAAGGTCGTATGAAATCAACTTGAAGGAGTTGATTATTCCCAAACATTATCTTCTTATCTTCTAAGTGTGGTGCCTCACCACCTGGTTGGGCCACCTGGGAAATCACGGAATTTCCAACACACCAGCAATATAAGATAGATGTATACATAAATTTGTATTCATCAGGAAAGCTTTTAACCTTGGGATGGGAAACAAACCATGTATGTGGTTATTGCTGGTGTGTTGGAAATTCCGTGATTTCCCGGGTGGCCCAACCAGGTGGTGAGGCACCACACTTAGAAGATAATGTTTGGGAATGGTCAACTCCTTCAAGTTGATTTCATACGACCCTCATCCACCACAAACATTGTTGCAACAATGTTGATATAAGATAGATGTATACATAAATTTGTATTCATCAGGAAAGCTTTTAACCCTGGGATGGGAAACATGTGGTGGACGAGGGTCGTATGAAATCAACTTGAAGGAGTTGATTATTCCCAAACATTATCTTCTTATCTTCTAAGTGTGGTGCCTCACCACCTGGTTGGGCCACCTGGGAAATCACGGAATTTCCAACACACCAGCAATATAAGATAGATGTATACATAATTTGTATTCATCAGGAAAGCTTTTAACCCTGGGATGGGAAACAAACCATATTGTGGTTATTGCTGGTGTGCTGGAAATTCCGTGATTTCCCGGGTGGCCCAACCAGGTGGTGAGGCACCACACTTAGAAGATAATGTTTGGGAATGGTCAACTCCTTCAAGTTGATTTCATACGACCCTCATCCACCACAAACATTGTTGCAACATATGTTACCCTTCTTGCAAACTCATTCCGACTCACGGCAAACCCCCCCGGCAAACCCAACATGTTGCAACAATGTTGATATAAGATAGATGTATACATAAATTTGTATTCATCAGGAAAGCTTTTTAACCCTGGGATGCGAAACATGTGGTGGACGAGGGTCGTATGAAATCAACTTGAAGGAGTTGATTATTCCCAAACATTATCTTCTTATCTTCTAAGTGTGGTGCCTCACCACCTGGTTGGGCCACCTGGGAAATCACGGAATTTCCAACACACCAGCAATATAAGATAGATGTATACATAAATTTGTATTCATCAGGAAATCTTTTAACCTTGGGATGGGAAACAAACCATGTTGTGGTTATTGCTGGTGTGTTGGAAATTCCGTGATTTCCCGGGTGGCCCAACCAGGTGGTGAGGCACCACACTTAGAAGATAATGTTTGGGAATGGTCAACTCCTTCAAGTTGATTTCATACGACCCTCATCCACCACAAACATTGTTGCAACAATGTTGATATAAGATAGATGTATACATAAATTTGTATTCATCAGGAAAGCTTTTAACATCTTTTAACCCTGGGATGGGAAACATGTGGTGGACGAGGGTCGTATGAAATCAACTTGAAGGAGTTGATTATTCCCAAACATTATCTTCTTATCTTCTAAGTGTGGTGCCTCACCATCTGGTTGGGCCACCTGGGAAATCACGGAAATTCCAACACACCAGCAATATACGATAGATGTACACATAAATTTGTATTCATCAATGAATCAAGAAAGTTTTTAACCTTGGGATGGGAGGAAACAAACCATATTGTGGTTATTCCTGGTGTGTTGGAAATTCCGTGATTTCCCGGGTGGCCCAACCAGGTGGTGAGGCACCACACTTAGAAGATAATGTTTGGGAATGGTCAACTCCTTCAAGTTGATTTCATACGACCCTCATCCACCACAAACATTGTTGCAACAATGTTGATATAAGATAGATGTATACATAAATTTGTATTCATCAGGAAAGCTTTTAACATCTTTTAACCCTGGGATGGGAAACATGTGGTGGACGAGGGTCGTATGAAATCAACTTGAAGGAGTTGATTATTCCCAAACATTATCTTCTTATCTTCTAAGTGTGGTGCCTCACCACCTGGTTGGGCCACCTGGGAAATCACGGAATTTCCAACACACCAGCAATATAAGATAGATGTATACATAAATTTGTATTCATTATTCAGCAGGAAAGATTTTAACCTTGGGATGGGAAACAAACCATATTATGGTTATTGCTGGTGTGTTGGAAATTCCGTGATTTCCCGGGTGGCCCAACCAGGTGGTGAGGCACCACACTTAGAAGATAATGTTTGGGAATGGTCAACTCCTTCAAGTTGATTTCATACGACCCTCATCCACCACAAACATTGTTGCAACAATGTTGATATAAGATAGATGTATAAATAAATTTGTATTCATCAGGAAAGCTTTTAACCCTGGGATGGGAAACATGTGGTGGACGAGGGTCGTATGAAATCAACTTGAAGGAGTTGATTATTCCCAAACATTATCTTCTTATCTTCTAAGTGTGGTGCCTCACCACCTGGATGGGCCACCTGGGA